TTTTTTTTTTTTATCGAGAATATTTACAGAAATCTGCATATTGCTGCTGAAAATTCAGCTTTGCATCACAGAAGCACATTACATTTTAAAACACATTCAAATTGAAAAAGTAATTTTAAACTGAAATAATATTTCACAATATTACTGTTTTTATTATTTTCTTGATCAAATAAATGCAGCCTTGGTGAGCATATGAAACGTCTTTCAAAAACATTAAAAACATTTTACTGACCCTAAACTTTTAAACCATAGGATGTTTTTACCATTATAACAATTTTTAGTCAAAGAACAGCAGTAGATTACCCACATAGATCTATACTGAAAATATTTTTAAACATAAACAATACAGAAAGGGGTTTCTGTGAATTGTTTATTATAATTTTTTGTATATATAATTGTATATATATACATATATACATTTTTTTTAATCATATTTATATATATATATATAGCTTTTATTTTAATATTTTTGGTTTCAGTCATTTTAATTTTAGTTTAAGTTTTTGTAATTTTGTTCTTTTGTCATTTGTCATTTTTTAAATGTAGCTTTAATTTACTTTTTTCAGTTTTCGTTATTTTAGTACTTTCATTAAAATTTTCAATTAGTTGCCAAGGTAATATTTCAAATTTTTAAGTTTTAGTTTTTCATCTAATATGCTTATTTTTTTTTAATTCAGTTTTATTTGAAATAACACCAGCTATTTTGATTAATTTTAGTTTTAGTTAACACTGATCTTTTATTTTTTACTTCAAAACAAGAACATAATGATTCCATATCTAGTAATACGGAATTAATTATTCAAAATGATTCTGAGAGTTACACTTCATTCTGTAGTAATCAATTAAACAGCCATTTTTAAATTAATTTTTAAAACATTTAAAATTCATTTTACACAGCAAAACTATTGCAAAACTGCAAATGGTGCATTATAACACATTTTCTCTAATATATTCATATGACCTTTAACCTAAAAAACTATCCATGCTATCTATCAACTACCCTACCCACTTATATAAATTCTACAACTGCACATACATCCATGCACATCCTGATCCTGATTCCTGATGACAAGTTCAACAAACAACATTTTTCTGCCTGTGAATGAAGCGAGGGGACGAACTGAGTTTTTGCCTCTTCGCAACCAAGCTCTGTCCGATCTCATAAGGAAACATACTACTCAACTCAACGTTACCATGACAACCATTCTCGAATTCTGATGTGATGTTTTGGGAACTTAAAAAAGGGAAGCTTTGGGAGTCTCCAAACATATGGATGAATAACAAGTTAGAAGGGGAATGTGTGAGCATGAACCAAAAAATATCCCGGCATGAGCTGCAAAGAGCAATGGTTTGCAATGCAATGGTTTGTTTAGTATTTGACAAGGCGACCTTGCATTTACAAAACAAAGCAGCCTCACTCTGGATGGAATACATGATTGCTGGAAGTTGAAGTACATTTGACTGACAGCACTTACTGAATACGTTTGTCAATTCTGAATCACATTTGAAAAGACCAGGCTCACTGCGTTCATACAGGTATGAAACAACGTAATGGTGAGGAAATGTTGACAGAATTTTATTTTTTATGTAATTTCTTACATAAAAATAATTGTCTTTAAATAAATACATTTAAATAAATAAATTGAACCCTAGTCATTTAAATAAATGTCTAGGGTTCATATTTAATAACATGTTGTTAAAATCGAAAGTTGCAACTGTGTTATTTAATGAGCTAACATGAACTAAGACTTGTATTTTTTAAACAAAGATTAATAACTTCTGTAGCAAATGTAGCTATTGCTCATTGTGAATGTTAATGCATTAACTAAGGTTAACTAATGAGGTCTTATTGTAAAGTGGTCTTTATGTTCTTTTGCACTTGAATCTGTGTAAAACCTTTAACTTTATACATTTTTATATATTGCTTTATTGCATTTAAATGTCAGTTATTTTTGTTATAAGAAAAAAGTTATTAAACCTGTTATACTGTATTATGACAGCACTTTTTTAAAACTAAATTTCAATATCGTGATAATACCGCATACCGTGATGAAAGCATTAGCAATTAATCGCAACGTGAAAATTTGATACCGGCATATCCCTAGGTTCAATACAAGCTAAGGTCTTCTGAATAGCCTCTTACAAAAAGAGTCTGTACAGAAAGTCTATGGGGAAAGGCCAAAATAAAACACATATTAAAATACACACCATTTAGGAACTAATAGCCGAAAAGTCACAAGACTGTATGTGTTAACTTGAGGTTAGTGTGCTAAAATTGCTTACCAATGTTGTCTACAAACTTATATCCATGTAACTTCTGTCATAACTATTAAATCTGGAAAAGCTGGTTTTTGCACAATTTGCACAAGGATACCATAAAAGTGTTTAACGTACAGTAACCTTATGCAAACACAAATCATGTCAAATGCATAACAGGACATTCATATGCCTAGAACAGTAGTGTCACCAATTACAGAATCATTTAGACAAGTTTACAGCTCAAATAACCTGAAATTATAAATTATAATGATAATGTAAGTGCATTTATTTATCATTAAAAAAGTGCTTGTATCTTTGTGAAATGTTAACTATATTATCGGCCGGCTCTAATCTGCTAAGGCATGAAGATATTAAGATATTATAAACATTAATGTCACCATTGTTTGTTAAGATGATTTGAATATATATACTGTAAAAAGCACTGTATAAATACATTTTGACATTACTTGGACAAAAACATTTCTGTATATTTAATGTCACATCCCCAGACTTCCACCACAGAAAACATCCTTTGAGTAAACAAACAGATAAAACACACACTAATTTGGTCTTCAATAACAATGTTAAAAAAGGCATTATCAAAATGATAAGCGATGTCAGAGGTGCAGTGATATCTATCTCAGGTCAACTCATCTGCATGGACGCAGCACCGTCCCTGTCTTTGACAGCTGAGCAGCCTCAGACCGCGAGACGTGGACACAATGACCTCAGCGGGAGGCCACAGACATTAGGGACATTTCAGGGACATAAACATGTGATCTCATGAATATGGAAGAAGTAGCTGCCAGAGGGTTTGAACTGTGTTTGCCCAGCATGATGCTGAATAAAGCAGAGTCTCAAAAGGCTGAAGAGAGACGGAGAGAGAGGTAACGAGTGAAACAATAAAGGCCATCAGAAATATGATGCTTTTTATGGATAAGACTTTGCAGGGCATTGGACAAATTCAAAAAAAAAAAAAAAAAAGAGAGGACAATATCCTTTTCATCTTCAAGCAGTTGAACTAAATGGTAAACATGTTCCATTCCTAAGCCAGCAGAGGACGGTTAAAACATGCACTTCATTAAAGATTTTTAAGTGTTATAGACTGATTGCACTCCAAAGCAGTGGAGGAATACACACAAAAGTGAAAGTGAACTGGAGTCCCACAGCGACATGCATGTCAACACCAAACCCTGTAAGACTCATTTACATGCATTCAGTAACCTGGACGGACATGCACAACATTTGGATAAAAAGGCTTTACTGTTACCTGACCCCAACCGAATGAAACAACAGCCTTTTCTCTCCGCACAACTGAGAGGTCGCAGTCGAACTGCATTAAGCCCACACGGAAAGAAACGGTGCAGCACTTATTCACGAGTCACTGAGCACACGTCATGCTGCTGCCCAGTCAGCGCAGCAATCTCTCCCTCTCGCTCTCCATCTCCAGGTGTTCTGCTCTCCTTCTGTTACTTCTCTTATAAATACACTTAAATCTGCTGGGCTCCATCTCATTTTTTATGGCTGCACAGCTGCCATTCAGGAAGTTCACAGACATCTAGAACACACACACACACACACACACACACACACCAACTTGTTTTTAGTAATTGCAATTTATTTTAAAATTTCAATTCTAATTTCTAATGTTTTATTTTTTTCTTGTTTAAGAATAAACCTGTGAGTTTTATGCGTTACAATTTGCCAATAAATAAAAATAAGTTAATAAAATTACTAAAAATTTAATTAAAGGAGACATATTATGCCCCTTTTGTGAAGGTAAACAGCTGGGAAATAAATCGCATGTTTATTTTAGATCTGTGTGGCAGCAGAAATATACAGTAAATAAATCAATAAATCCACTGCTCTCTTGTCTCCTCTGAGGCTGGGACTAAATAGTGTTCTGTGCTCGTCTGTGCAGCCAAAGACAGAACAGTTAGCATGTTTTGCTCAATAATTTACTCAATAATTTCTTTGTGTGTTGTGTTTTTGTTTTTTTTGCTGTCTGATGTGGTGTCATCTCGGATTTATACTGACCTCTGCTGATTTTAAACACATTTATGTAATAATTATTTCCTTATGTGTAACACTTGAACTTTGACATTTTAATTATTTTTAATTCTGGAATACATTTATTTAAAATAATAATAAACTGAGTGCAATTTTAGGTGTGTTCGATTTTTTTTTTATACGGTTTATGATGTTTGCAGTCTGCTGTTTTTCAAGAGAGCGTCAAGATCTAAACCATCAAAGACAGAAATCTCTCATAAATCACACAGGCTCTTCAGAACCTGAATATTAAAAGCTCCATTAGAGGCAGTGTGGAGATGAATTCACCTAACAGAGGCATTGATTCCAGAGTCCCAAACCGAATCCAAAAGTCTCCACACAGCTCTAAATCGTCCTCACTGGTTTGGTTGGAATTGGTTCATTTCTGTGATGTGGGTAGACTGATTCTTCAGGGTGAGACAAAAATAAGTTGGCATCATTTAAAAGAGTTTCAAGTATCTTGGGATTCGTTTTGACATATTCAGTCAAGCCCTTTAAAAATGTATTGAGCAGAGACATGTGCACACACACACACACACACACACACACACACAGAACTCACATAGTCTGAAGCATACTAACATCAGGATGCAGATCACACAACATGAGTGGTGAAAAATAAAGACGTGAGCATCTCTGAGAAATTCCTTGAAAACCTCACAGCTCCCAAAGGGACTGCAAAGATCCAAAGAGGATCTCAAACATGCAGCAAGCCCTTTTAAGCTTTAGTTCACCCATCATTTACGCACCCTTTTGTTGATGACTTGCTTTCTTCCATGGAATACAAAAGGAGATGTCTAGTAGATTGTTCTGCATACTTTTCCATTTAGTGCACTGGTTGTGGACAAGCACCATCAAGCTCCAAAAATGACTGACTGATGGACGGACAGACAGACAGATAGATAGCTTTCATTTTAGGCTACAATGAATCCCTATTCAAGGCACAATATATTACAGCTTCTCCTACAGCTACAGATGGTGAGTTAGAGGTTTACAGTGAGCTTGACTTTATATTGAGGACCACCAAGACGGGATTGTGAGCGTGCTAAAAATAGCAGTCTGTCATTGTTGTGCGTTACAGATTTTGTGCAGAGCTGCCACTTCTGGGTTGAAGGTAAACTCAAAGATGCTGGAGCAAAGTTTGAACTCAAAACTCATACTAGAGAGGATTTTCCTTCTGACATCCTCCATTGCTTTATTTAAGAGCATTTCTCTATCAAAAGAAACATGTCCTGATATAAAGAAGATGCTCTGATGTTCACAGGTTGACTCTGAAGGCCAGGATCCCCCAGTGAACTTAAAACTAGTGTCACAGTCACAGGAGTCGCATTTACTGTAGAAACTGCTCAGTGAAGGATTAGGTTTATTTTTGCCTCCAACCAAGAGTTTCTCTTTAGATGCTGCTGAAGCTAGTTGATATTTCCATTGTGCAAATAAAGGAAGTGTAACTGACTTTGGGCTCTACGGTTCGACCTTATTTCCACCATTAGCATATTATGATAAACAGAAGCCCACACAACGTTCCTTTTGCAGCTCAGAGGGCGGACAAACCTGCCTCTGCCTTCACTTCTGCCAAAAAACCTACTGTTGGCAGGTAATTAAAGTAGCATGTATTATGCACAAAAGAAAAGCAGCCCATTAAAAATCACAGTGTTTAGGAGCTTCACTGAGGGTGGATCTCGCTCTATTTATTTCTCTCTTTGTCTCTCTGATCAAGAGAAAATAACAGGTTTGTCTCATCCTGTGCCTGGTGGCTTTTACCTACATGTCCAAAATCCCCCACACAGCGGCCCAATAAACATAAAACCAGAGTGAAGGACCAATGTGGTCTCAATCAGTTTCTCTCAAATGAAAAAGTGCAAGAAAGTTTCTGTAACTGTCTAAAGGTCATGAATATCTAATGAGGCAAGTGCTTTATTGTTTGTGATTGGCTATCTGTTGCCAAACAACTTCTCATAACATTCAAGCACTGCACTGTTTCACAAAAAAATGCCTTTGGTGCCACAATTCGAGGTTCATAACAGCACCAACAATCCTAAAAACTAAAATTACATGTGTGAAGCACTAATGTGTTAAAGTGTTAAAAAGGACATATACTGTAAATCATAATTCTAAAAAAAAAGAGAGAAATAAACACACTGTCATTCAAAAGTTAGTGGTAGGTAAATGTTTCTGAAAGACATCTCTTCTGCTCATTAAAGTAACATTTATTTGATCAAAAATACAGTTAAAACAGTAATATTGTGAAATATTATTACAAATTAAAAGAACTTGTCTATTTTAATATACTGTATTTTAAAATGTAATTTATTCCTTATTTGTATTTATTATTTTTAAAATGTATATTATATGAATAATGTTTTTCAGTTTAACGAGTTAAAAATAATTAATGCAGCATCAAATTTTTTCATGGCATCCCTTTGGCTACCGTTACCGATATGAACACAATATTGAGCATGATAAGACGCAAAAAAAGAACTTAAAAGAGAATATACATTTATAAGAGAATATAAATCTACTATATTAATATGCGATTAATAGCCATCAGTTACAGAAAAATGTGTGATTAATTCGATTTTTTTTAAATCAATTGACAGAACTAATTTCTTATTATTTCTCATATTATTTTTCTTTTTATATATATAAAAAAATTATTTGTAAAAATCGTGATACATTTTTAATCAATAGAAATGTCTAAAGAACAGCATTTATTTGAAATAGAAATCTTTTGTAACATTATAAACATTGTTTACTGTCACATTTGATCAATTCCTGTCTAAATAAAAGTATTAATTTCTTTAAAAAAAAAGCGTATTGACCCCAAACTTTTAAACAGTAGTGTAATTATTGTGGTACCTCTATGGTTCCCTGGTCCAGAGGAAAGCTACAGTAAAAGTTTTCCAGCTCCGAGCAGCTACAGGAACACACTCGACGTCTTAAATGGGATTGGATCAGACAGCATAATCATACAGTATTCCTCATGGGCTGATGTGTCTAAAGCTTCCGCCACCTTAAAATGCTGTGAAATTGAAATGTGAAATTCATAGTAAGCCACCGCCGGCGTTAAGCTTAATGTGTGAAATAGTGTTTGCCTTTGGGGCCCGTGGCACATTCATGAACTGAAAAAGGGAAAATGACACATAACAGTGTGACCACTTTCAGCCCAGCTTAGAGATGACACCATCAGTGAGGCTAAAAAAAAGATCAGCTAGAACTCTGAGAGCAATGATTAAAAACATTACATTGTTTTATATATTTTTTAAAAACCATCAGAAGTGGATTCAGAGGAAACATCAATGCATCTCTGCGCTAGTCTCAGCCTCGAGGGCCGTTCACAATGACAGCGGTTAAATCGATAGAGGTCGTACAGTCACTGTACTGTGGGCTGCTAGCAAGCGTTCGCACTCGCCTGAGCTTTACACCCATTGATAGCTTCTGCGTCACGTTGTTGTGCATTTGCGTAACACATCAGATTGACATCTGTCACTAAAAAAATCCCACTTTTGTCTGCAAGTTCGAGCTCAATCACAAGTATGCAGCCAACTCATAATTTTGCTGCTCTCTTAAAATGATGCATTATGCACATATTAAAAAAAAATTGTGCTGTGCAAGAGGACAAAAGCATTACTACCTCAAACACCAGAGACCATTCAGATGATAATGTGTGGGTCGTCCTTCTGCATTCACATAACACTGGATGGATGTATGGGAACTTACGCAACAGCATGAGTAACACCATCTTATGGACAGAAGAAAGGCTCTGCCTAAAAAATCCACTCATCTATTTATTTATTTGATGTGGCATACACCCACTCCGTATTATTCATGCAACATGATTTTTTTTTTTTACAATGACCTAAATCAGTTTAGCTCTTTCTGAGTCACCGGCCTGATTCACCATGATGAAAATGCCACATGCATGCAAAAACACAGTATTTCCTGTCTCTGGCCCTCCTTTTATTTCTCTTTACACTTAGATGAACGTAATCATCCAGCAAATTAAAAGTTCAGTGTTATTACGGTATAAATTTAATTCTTGTATAGTAACATACCTCTAAAGGTCTTGATATAACAGTCAATCAAGATGAGATTAAGTTATGAACTGTTTAAGTGCTGCCCTCTGGTGTCCTGTAATGAAATCTTCTGTAAATATTTTTATATACTGTAAATCAGCTAATCAACAGACTGAATTTCCTCATTTTGCACAAAGTTTTAGATTTTCTGCAGGCCTACATGCACTTCACACTAAATCCCAAATGCATGCATTTTGACAGACACCAAAAAATAAAAACATAAATAC